CCTCACAACTCTTTATCGGACTGACGTTCGGACGCCAGTGATCTTCGGTGGTATGGCTCTGAGGCATGATAGCATCACGCCCCCATTCGCGAAACGTGCACGAGTTGTACGACGTGAACGACAGCCCAGCTCGTGTGTTCTCAACGGCGAAACATAGTCTTGGCCACCACATGACCGAGCCCACCTTGGCAAACTTGTCTGCCCAATCATTTTGTCAGTGGTAGATCCAGATTGTATTCCAGCCGCCGATGAGCTAGAGTCCAAGCACACTGCGCACGTGACAGTCCACGATCCCGAGCTTGTTTGGCACGAGCTCGCCAGACCCGAGAGTACTTGGATCCGCCTGTCCGAGGACCCCAGGATCGATCGGCGGCGAGCGAGAGGGGGAAGTGAGAAAGAAAAGACCTCAGAAGGCGGCGGGCTATCTCATCAGGCGATCCCAAACATGGATTAAGGGGGCGTGGATTAGCGACGGGTCCCGTTTCAATTGGAATCGCGGATCTCCTCCGCCGAGCGAGGCGGCACCGGCCGCATTTTGGGGAGGGCACCTCCCCAGATCCATGGATTTGGCGACCGCGCGCCAAATCCCTGGATCGCTAATCCATGCTTGCGCGCCCCCGATTCTCAGAAGCCCTCGCGCCTTCTGAGACGTGTTCTATGTCTTCGGGGAAGGCTTACACACCTTCTCAGAAGAACGGAGGGTTTCCGAGCCTTCAGAGAAGCCGGTGGACATGGATACGCTCGGAGGAGGGGAAGGAGGGCGAGCGGGATCGGGAGGGAGAAGGGATGAGCGGGAGGTACAGCGACAGGCGCACACAACTCGAGCGGGAGGGATGAGGAGGAGAAGGAGGAGGGCGAATGGAGGAGGGACGAGGGATGAGGGAGGAGGAGGGGGGGAGGAGGGAGGATGGAGGGGGTGGAGGAAATGGAGAATGAGGAGGAGCAGGAGGAGGAGGAGGAGAAACAGGAGGAAAAAAGGAAGGATACACCCGGTGGGATCCGAAAACAACAAGGAGCCAGCAAACAGGAGGAGGAGGAGAAGGAGCAGGAGGAGGAGGAGGAAGAGGAGGAGGGGAAAGAGGAGAACGAAGTGGTGGAGGAGGAGGAGGAGGAGGAGGAGGTGGAAGGAGGAGGGGGGAAGAGGGATGAGGAGGAAGGAGGGAGGGGGGGACAGGAGGGGGGAGGGAGGAGGAGCGAGGAGGGAGGAGGAGAGGGGAGAGAGCAGGGAGGAGGGGCGAAGGAGAATGATGACGATGAGGAGGAAGAGGAGGACGGGGAGGAGGTGGAGGAGGAGGAGGAGGAGGAGGAGGAGGAGAGGAGGAGGAGTGGAGGAGGAGGAGGAGGAGGAGGAGGAGGAGGAGGAGGAGGAGGAGGAGGAGGGAGGAGGAGGAGGAGGAGGAGGAGGAAGGAGGAGGAGGAGGAGGAGGAGGAGGAGGAGGAGGAGGGGAGGAGGAGGAGGGGGGGGGGAGGAGGGAGGAGGGAGGGGGTAGAGGGGAGAGTGAAGGAGGAGGAGAAGGAGGAGGAGAACACGAAGGGTGCACACGGTGGGATCCCCAAACAACCATGAGCCAGCAAACAGGAGGAGCAGGAGGAGGAGGAGGAGAAGGAGGAGGACGAGGAGGAGGAGCAGGAGGAGGAGGAGGAGGAGGAAGAGGAGTAGAAGGAAGAGAACGAGGTGGTGGTGGAGGAGGAGGAGGAGAAGGAGGAGGGAGGCGGGAAGATGGAGGAGGAGGAAGGAGGAGGAGAGGAGGGCGGGGGAGGAGGAGGAGAAGCGAGGAGGAGGGAGGGAGCAGGGAGGATGGTGTGAAGGAGGAAGAGGAGGAGGAAGAGAAGGAGGAAGAGGAGGAGGAAGAGTAGAGTAGAGGAGGAGGTGGAGATGGAGGAGGTGGTGGAGGAGGAGGAGGAGGAGGAGGAGGAGGAGGAGGAGGGGGGGGAGGGAGGAGGGAGGGGGTAGAGGGGATGGAGAAGGAGGTGGAGGACATGGAAGAAAAGGAAGAGAAAACGAAGGCTGCACCCGGTGGGATCCCAAAACAGCCAGGAGCCAGCAGACAGGAGGAGAGAGAGGAGGAGGAGGAGCAGGAGGAGGAGGAGAAGGAGGAGGAGGAAGATCAGGAGGAGGCGGAGGAGGAGAAGGAAGAGGAGTAGAGAGAGGAGAACGAGGTGGTTGAGGAGGAGGAGGGAGGCGTGAAGAGGGAGGAGGAGGCAGCAGGGAGGGGGGAGAGGAGGGGGGAGGCGGAGGAGGGAGGAGAGTGGATGAGGGAGGGAGCAGGGAGGTGGGGTGAAGGAGGAGGAGGAGGACCAGTGTAAGCCCAAGAGTCATCAACGATGTTGGAATTTACCCTCCCTCCAAGCTCCCTCTTCATAGGCCCCTACAACGGTTCATTTCCATTGAGGGAATTGCCTCGTTGGAAGACATTCGTTTGAAGATCTTGAGGCATGACAAAAAATGTTCTTGGGTTTTCAACGCCGCGTGTCAACCTGCCTGCTGTGTTTTGACGATCCGGAATCGTGCCAGAGCGCCATTGTTGGGGCTTCAACACCTAACGCATTTCGGTTGCAAAATCAACATAACGGTTGCGCCCGCATAATCCTGAACTCTTCCAAACACGATTTCTGGTATGTTGGTGATGGGAATGTGTGAAATCCGTGCACGTTGTTTAAACGAATGTGCTCGGCGCTGAGACGAGAGCCACATTTTGAAAACGACTCGCCCTCAATCTGTGAAACGCTTGCAATTTGTTTAAACGAGTGTGCGCGGCGCTAAGGCGAGAGTCACATTTTGAAAACCACCCGCCCTCAATCCGTGAAACACTGGCAAACGTTTAATGCGAATGTGCGCCGCGCTATGGCGAGAGCCACATGTTGAAAACCTCCCGCCCTCAATCCGTGAAGTTCTCACACATAGTTAAAAACGATTGTGCGCGGCGCTAAGGCGAGAGCTACATTTTGAAAAGGAACCGCCCTCACTCCGTGAAGCTCCCGCACATGTTTAAAACGAATGTGCGCGGCGCTAAGGCGAGAGCCACATTTTGAAAACGACTCGCCCTCAATCTGTAACACGCTTGCAATTTGTGTAAACGAAGTGCGCAGCGCTAAAGCGAGAGCCACACTTTGAAAACCACCCGCCCTCAATCCGTGATACTCTTCCGAATTGTTTGAACGAGTGTGCGCCGCGCTAAGGCGGCAGCCACATTTTGAAAACGGCCCGCCCTCCATCTGTGAAACTGTTGCCATATTTTAAGCTTCAGGGTCAGAAATATTTAGGAAGTCTCATGCGAAACGCCTGGCCCGCCCTAAGAACTTGCCTCTGGGTGCGACAGTTGGAAGTTATCTATAAGGAGAAGAGCCATTCTGGCTCAAGCGCCCGCTTTTGTCATTGGCCATCGTATAGCACTTGCTATAGTTTGAGTGTGTGTTTTCGCGCTCTTCCACTATCTGTGCGATCAATGGTCACGGCCTCTCGCCTCGCTTGGGTTCTCGATCAATTGCGGCAGGGTCGTCAAATGAGAATGAAACTGGCAACACACGAAGATTGCGTTATTCTGCATATTGTTCTCCTAACGCGTTTTGATGCTGCGATGCGAAACAACATTGCTATATTTCTGGGGTTCTTCAGTGCTTGAGGGCCTTAGCGAATCTGTTGCAGTTGACCAAGCATTGGTTTGCGTCCTTCGCCATCAAATGGTACTTCTTCTCTGGGCAGCCTTAAGCAGAACGGGTTGCAGCTCACCTCCGTTCTACAGGATGGTGTGTCTTACGATCAGGTTCGAGCGGGGACTGACGCTGGAGACAGAGGTGTGCCAGGTGCCATGCTGGACTGGGGGACGGCCACAAGGAAAGTGACGTTGTTGATCCTGCTCATGGTGTTCGTGCTGACGCCCCCCTCGTGGATGCCGCAACCTCCAACCAGATGATGACAGAGTTTGACCCGGCCATGTGCCGGGTGTTGCACGAGCAGGCGAAAGAGGTCAGGGGCAAGTTCAGCGCATCATGGCCGCCGCTGGCCGGCATCTCGGAAGAGCAGTCCTACGAACAAATTTGCAATATGTTGGTAGATGGTTGCGCAAACGTCTTGTCGTCAATTGTTGGGCATGAGTTTACGCAGGAGCAAAAAGTGCACATTGAGAGTCGGATTCGCGAGTTGGCCCCCGGCGAGTTTGGCGATTAGAAACGCTCCGCGCTCTCTCGTAGTGCATTCTCCCAGGGCCTTGGCAGCACCCCCGCGCCCAGTGCGAACGCACCGTCGCGCATCCAGGGTATCACAAAGCGTGGTACGAATCAGCCTGGCAGTGGAAGGACGAAGAAGCGATAGTCTTGTGGAATGAGAGGAAACAAAAGTTATCTATAAGGAAAAAGAATGGAAGAGGAGGAAAAGGAGCAGGGGGAGGAGGAGGAGAAGGAGGAGAAGGAGGGGAAGAGGAGAGAGGAGGGAGGGGGTAGAGGGTAGGCAAAAGGGGAGGAGGAGGAAGAGGAGGAGGACGAGCAGGAGGATGAGAAAACGGAGGGTGCACCCTGGTGGGATCCCAAAACAACCAGGATCCAGCAAACAGGAGGAGAAAGAGGAGGAGGAGGAGGAGCAGCAGCAGAAGGAGGAGGAGGAGAAAGAGAGAGGAGGAGGAGGAGGAGGAGGAGGAGGAGGAGGAGGAGGAGGAGGAGGAGGAGGAGGAAAAGGAGAACGAGGAGAACGAAGTGGTGGTGGAGGAGAAGGAGGAGAAGGAGGAAGGAGGCGGGAAGAGGGAGGAGGAAGGAGGGGGGGGGGAGAGGAGGGGGGAGGAGGAGGAGGGAGGAGGAGGAGGAGGAGGGAGGAGGGAGGGGGGTGAAGGGAGGAAGGCGAGGGAAGGAGGAGGAGGAGAGGAGGAGGAGGGGGAGGGGGAGGAGGAGGAGGAGGAGGAGGAGGAGGAGGAGGAGGAGGAGGAGGAGGAGGAGGAGGAGGAGGAGGGAGGAGGGAGAAGGGAGGAAGGAGGAAAAGGAGCGGAGGAGGGGGGAGGCGGCCCTCCCAGGTCCGCCAGACCATCCGGAACGCCTTCGCCAGCGAGCCGACTGGCGGCGGCGGGTCCGCCGACGGCCTCGACAGGTCCCCCCCGCGCTCATCTCGATGGGCCTCAGGACGTGTATTAACCCAATGTGTTACCCGTCCTCCTCGTCCTCCTCCTCCTCCACCTCCTCGTCCTCCTCCACCTTCTCCTTCACCTCCTCGTCCTCCTCCTTCTCCTCCTCCTTCTCCTCTTCCTCCTCTTCCTTCTCTCCTTGTCTCCAGGGCATTCTGCGGCTGGTAAATAAACAAGTGTTTATACCCCATTCGGCTTGTGGCGGCCATCGCAACACTGCCCCATTCGTATGAAGGGGCGTCGGTGGACAAGCCTTAGCCTTATTAGGTCGGGCGTGTCCGTCTACAGCAGGAATTTTCAAACATAGTTTGAACCATTGTCTGGGGCAGATTTGTCTTCAACTATTTCCTAGCATGTTCTACTATTGTATAGTTGTTCTTCTCAAATCGCCCTGTAGGAGGACATGCTCGACCTAAGACAAGCTCATATGTGGGCTCGGGCGAGCCTATCCCACGTTACCGCAGCAGTTCTCGTGAGCAGCAGGGGGCGTTGCAGTCGGGGGGTCGTTCTGACGCTCTGAGCGTCCGCTTGTCAGGGGTTCGGTCGAAGGGGCAATGGGGGGAGAGCGGGGATGAGGAGCAGGGAAGGCCTGGGGTGGCAAGACATCGGGTTGCCTCATGTCTTAACCCTCGCACTGATCCTTGAGACACGACGCGGGGGCGGCCCAGGTCGCCGATGGTGTTGTTGAGGCCCGAGCCGCCAGTAACGCTACGGATTTATCCTGGCAGCTCTGGCCACCAGGTCGCTCCAGGCGAATCCGGCTTCAATCGCGTTGCCGGCGAGGTGGTCCCCAAGAGCGCTGCTGGCGATTGGCTCCTGGGGCGTTGCTTGCGATGCCAAGGCAGGGCCACAATTAGTTACGTACCCGCGTTCGTGCCCGAGTGCATTTGTGGGTGGGTATTTTCTGGAGGGGCTTGTGGTTGCAGGCTAGACGGTCGAGCGCTTCACTGGGCCAAGATCGCATTCGCGTGCCTGCGCGGGGGATGGAGGGAACGCGGTTACGGGGTGCTAAGTAAGGTGCGATCCAGGCTTAGGGGCCTACAGACAAGTAGCTGCCTGTTGTTGTTGGCTCTCATGTGGCACACTTTTATGAAGCGGTTGATTGCGAGTTTGGTTATTGTCGCGGAACCTCTGGGGAATCTTGTCCTTTAGCGCTCTTCAGTTTTATTCGATTCGTGTTTGTCGTCGGACCCCTTTGTGTTGGTCGCGGACGCAGACCAGATCACACCTGTGATCACACCCGATTGATGGGGTCGGGCGATCGCGCCGATGCTTCGGCGATGCCGCGCAATCGCGAGCCAGATTTCCGTATCACGACGTCGCCGATGCATCGCCGATGCGTTATTTTTCTGACGGTCCGGAGCCCTTCGAGGGCCCCAGAGGCCCGAACACGGCAAAGAGCTTCCGCGATCCCATTCCCAAGGCCCGCTCCCTTCGTGTTGGGACGGGGCGTTCAGCGTGCGAGCCGTTCTCTAGTGCCTCCTCGGTGGCCCAGAAGCGGCCCAACGGAGAGAGGTCTCGCGAGCACGATTCTGCAGAGTCGACTGGGGGCATTTTTTTTTTGTTGGCCGACGCAGGCCCGCTACCAGCGGCCAGCGTTCCACCACCGCCGCCCTCGGCGCCGTCATCATCGTCGTCGCCGTCCTTGGCACCGTCGCCGCCGCACTCGTCATCGTCATCGTCGCCGTCGTCTTCGTCCTCGCCGTCGCCGTCGCCGTCGCCGTCGCCGCCGCCGCCGCCGCCGTCGCCGCCGCCGCCGCCGCCGCCGCCCTCCTCCGCGGGGCCCTCCCCCACGGGGCGGCCCGGGCGCGCCCGCGGGCGGGCCCAGGTCTGCGGAGGACGACATGGTGGCCAGAGAGAGGCGATCCGGCGGGGCGCTGGGCTACTCCACCGGGGCGTATCGTAATGGGGGCGGTGCCAGACGGGGCTATAGGGCGAGGATAAGTCCGTTCCGGAGCGTTCCAGAACACCCTCGGACCGATGCGGAACGCTCCGAGAAGGCCGCGGCGCCCGAGGCATCCTCCAGATCGGCCGGATCTCAGAGATTCTGGATTTGGCCTCGCCCGAGTTTGCCTTCGCCCTGGCTTCGCCTTACTCAGGAGGGACAAAAAGCACACAGACACAATTAATTGTCGATTCTTCAGAAAATATAGGAACATATGGGAAGTGGGGGGGGGAAAACAACAACTCAGAAAATGTAGGAAAATCTGGTAAATCCTTTTATTTGTGTGTGAATTTATTTGTGTGTCCTGTGGCCCCTTCACTTACGATGAGAGGGGTGATCGAGGGTTGCAGGAAGAGGTCGGCGGAGAGTCCAGGGGGAAAGCGTGAGGAGGCGGGCCCAGTCCTCGCGCGCCTTCCCCGGAGCGGGGCCCCCTCTTACCAGCTTCGAGCGTATCCCTATCCCTGAGATTGACACGCCAAGAGGCGATGACAGTCTCAGGGATTCGCCCTCAGAACATGAGGGAATCCCTGAGATTGGCATCGTGGTGAGGAGGTGCCCAGCACAGGGATAGGGACATGCTCCAGGCTGGTAGTGGTCCTCGCGCGCCTTCCCCGGAGCGGGCCCCCTCGCCCCGGAGGAGCGCCCCGCCCGGGCTGGCCCGGAGGCGGGCGCCCGCCCGAGGCCGCACCGAGCGGGGCACCGCGGCAGACCGGCCAGGAGGGACTCGGGCGATGCTCCCGGGGCTCACCCTGGGCGCACTGCTCCCAAGGCTCAACATGGGCGCACTCAGTGCACAACATGGAGCAGTCACATCTTTGATCCATCGTCGTCGTCATCTCTCACCGTCATCATGGCGTGTGGGCGTTAGGCCGCGCTCTCTCGCCCGTTGCCGCCCTCGGCAGCGTTTGGCTGTCCGGCTTATGTTTGCCAACGCGTCCACTCGGATGCAAGGCTTCTGTACCCATCGGTCGTTGGAAGTAGGTATTTTAAGCGCCTTCCTACTTCAATCATCGACTGGCTTCACCTTTTCCGACCTCCTTTGGGGGGCGGACGGAAGTCAATCTACTCTCAATGCCTTCCTACTTCATGTTTCTACCTACTTCTTCCGACCGATGGGTACCGTATTGTATTCTCGAGGCTCAAGAGGCGGGGGTCAATGCAGACGGGGGTCAGCCACAGAGCCGGATCTTGCAGGATTCTACAGGGCCAGGTTGCATTGACCTGGGTTTGGGTGCAGGATCCTGCAGGATCTTGCAGGGTCCTGCAAAGCCTGACTGACCCGGGTTTGGTTTGACCCAGGTCAGAAGATTCCCGATTCAATAATCGCCTCCCCACATTAATAATCGATATGCTCTTGCTATGCTTTGTGATTCTCTGGGAGGGCCCGAATCCAATCTACTTTATCGTGTCCGCCTTCCTACTTCACGCTTTTACCTGCATCCCCGCGGAGGTGCGTCAGGACGAGAACGGTCCTGCGGCAGGACTGCCTGCCAGCTCGCGGTGATGGTTATGGAGTGGGCGCTGGGCGGTGCCTCCAGTTCGTAAGAATAACTGCCGCCGCGACTCTTTTTCGCGACGCTGCGAGGCTCACCGCGAGGGGGCAACATGTTCGGCCACGCGCAGAGTGGGGAATGGGGGAGGGGGGAAGGCTTCATAGAAGAAGGCTGCTTCTTTCGGGCGATCGCAAACATGGATTAAGGGGGCGTGGTTTATCGACGGGTCCCATTTCCACGGGAAATCGCGGATTTCCGCCGCCCAACGAAAGGGCACCGGCCGCATTTTGGGGAGGGCACCTCCCCCGATCCGTGGATTTGGCGACCGCGCGCCAAATCCATGGATCGCTAATCCATGGTTGCGCGCCCCCGATTCTTAGAAACCGCGGGCCTTGCATCTACAGACAAGGCCCGCGCCTTCTAAGAAGCAGGCCTCTCCTAAGAGGCCTTCCCCCCCTCCACGTAGCCCCTCTCTGCACGCCGCCATTGGAAATTTCAACCATGGCTCTTTTCACGAAGCTGCGAGGCTCACTGCGAGGGTCGGCACGAACGAAATGGGTACGGAAAGAATGGGCACAATGCCCAACAGCAGTTCCTGTTCATTCTGGACAGGACTCGCTGTCCGCGCCGCCGCGGCCTGTGTCCATTTGAGACAGAAGGCCGCTTGCCCAACAGCGGCCGCTGATGGTTTGGGGCAACATTTGTTGTTGGGCACTGTACCCGTTTTTTCCGTAGCCATTTCGGGCGTTCAAACCCCCCGCCGTCCTCTTTCTGTCTCCTGCTGCAGCTGCTGGTCCTGTCCCTCCTCCCTGCTCTTAAGTCGGGCCTGTCCTTCTACAGGAGGAATATTCAAACATGGTCCAAAAAAGTCTGGGGACGATTTTTCTACTATTTTGGAGTATTTTGGAATAGTTTGGGGGTATGGTCTATTTTGTTCCGTACCCATTTCGGGCGTCCAGAGAGAGGGCCCCATGTCCTGGGCTGGCCCGGCGGGGACCGGTGCTAGCAGTATGGGAGCATTCGGCACCCCGCCCCCGAAGGCAGCGTGGCTACGGGAAGGACGAGTCCGGCTTCAACGCCAAGGCGCCCGCTGGCCGGAGTTGGAGGTCCACTGGGGAGCACGGAAGAGGAGGCGGAGCCGGGGGGGAGGAGGAGATTTGTTTGTTTGTCGACACGTGAGCTCGGACATGCAACGGCAGTGCAAGTGGGGGGCCAGGAGAGAGGAGAAGGAGGAGGAGGAGGAGGATTCGGAGGGAAAGGAGGAAGAGGATTGCACCAAAGATGTAGCAAGAATCCCTCCCTCCAAGGTCGTCCCTCTTCACAGGTTCCTGCAATAATTTATTGTGAAGGCCTTACTGCTGGAGCCACCGACCTAGAAGGACGACGACGACCACGACGACCACGACGACCATGACGACAACGAGAACGACGAGCTGATGACCCTGCCACAAGCTTTGGACATGGGGCGGGCGGTGGAGGGAGGAGGAGGAAAAGGAAGAGGAGGAGGAGGAGGTGAGGAAGAGGTGAGGAGGTGAGGAGGACGCGGAGGAGGCAGAGGAGGAGGAGGAGGGGGGATAAGGGGATAGGGGTGGGTGAGGAGGTGGAGGACGCGGAGGTGGAGGAGGAGGAGGAGGAGGAGGAGGAACTGGAGGGCGAGCAGAAAGAGGAGGATGAGGATGGGTGGAGGAGGAGGAGGAGGAGGATAAACAGGAGGAGGAGGACGAGGACGAGGAGGACGAGGAGGATGCGAAGGAGGAGGAGGAGGAGGAGGAGGAGGAGGAGGAGGAGGAGGAGGAAGATACGCGTCAACCGTGCCTTCCGGAACCGCAACACCGAGTCTGGGGAGGGCCGCTTCAACGTGTGCGACCAGGTGGAGATCCACAGGCCGCCAATCACCAAGGATGTGGCAAGCTGAGCCTTCCCTGGGACAGTCATGTGTGTAGACCTGGCTCGAGGCGAGGTGGCGGTTAAGTTCCGCCGGGTCGAGATGGTCTGCAGGCTGCAAGGCATCCGGGCCTTCACCGGTGCCGTCTTCGGCGAGATGGACACCGGCATGGCGCGAGTAAGCTTGGCCTGGGACCGCGTGGGGAACGAATCATTTAGATAACGTGACACCAGGCTAGATAACGTGACACCAGGCTCCTGGGCCAGGACCTTCGGCCTCTGGGAGGACACCCAGAGCGCGCAGCTCACCGAGCAGGCACAACAACGCCCAGACATCCTCGAAACCCTGTGCCGTCTTTCCCCCAGATGCCGTCAGCCACCAAACGTTCGCGCTGTACGATTCGCTCGTGGACAGAACTCCTGTGGGCAACTGATCGGGCTGAACCCGCAGCTTGGCCATCTGGTGGTTCCTTCGGAACCATCTACCTCGACGGCGTGGCGGTCGACACCCACCAGCTCATCTGCGGACATGGCAAGGAAACTCGCATAAATTATTATACCTTGGGTGATGAGCCGTCAGTGGCAACAAACGCTGGACAGTACCTGAACGGAAACGCTCGGTGACAGTGTCATTGACGTTCCCGAGGATACCGCCAGCTCCGCCGAAGGTGTATCGCCATCAACCCTGTCGGCTACAGAGGAGACCGGCAGCGACTTTTCCGGCCACGTCCGACAATCGAGGGGGCAGAAGATTTGGCCCAGGGGGTGGAGGGGCTGGAGAGCACCGACAGCCAGCATAAAATCTCCGCTGCCGTCAAGCACGCACCGGCCGACCTGGGACGCAGGCGTGGCCCCGGCACTTTTGAGACGCAGCTCCAGCGTCAGAGCATCCGCGCGCGGTGCCACTACTACTTACGCGGGCCTGCCTTGGACGCTTATGCCACTCTAGAGGAGGAGGGCGATGAAGGTAGGCATGTGGAGTTGCACCTTGATCCAGGGGTGCGCGAAGCGTTCCTGAGCTTCAGCAAGTGTGCGTCCGGCGACTGTGTCGCCGGCGCCCCTCAGACAGTTGCGCCCCTCAGATGCCGCCGCCAAGACCTCGGCCGTCATGCGCGGCGCCGACCATCTATCCAGCGAGGAAGTGTCGAGGCTGTGGAAGGAGGTCGCAGCGGGCAGCATCCTCGAGAAGCTCACCGTCTGGGTCAAGTACAACTGTTCCGAGAGGCGGCGGCCGCCCGACGGCGACCGAAACGCAATAGGCTCCATACGCGTCTTCAAGTGGAAGCGCGGGAAGGGGCCAGGCGGCCATGCTGCCTGGATCATCCCGCGCCGCGCGGAGCCGAGGGGCTTCTGCGGCGCGGGCGCCAGAGCCCTGGAGACTTTCGTTGCGTCGGCGAGGCGGGCGTCTCAGCGCCAGCTCTCCTCGCGGGCGGCGCGTCGCCCCGATTGGGTGCGCGTCGCCGTTGACGTCGAGAAGGCTTTCTCTCAAGTCCTGACCTATGAGTGGATGCAGGGGCAAGGAGAAACACTCCGAGGGGCGAACGTCGCCCCGCCACCCGGCGGCGCAGCCGCCCTCAGGCAGGTGCCCGGTAAGCGCCTGCGCTGCGTGAGCCAGGCGCGGGCTGCAATGGTGCGCACAGGGCCCAAACCTACCAGTTGGGGCCTGGAGCTCAATGTCAAGAGCGTGACGTCTGGCAGGTGTGCCGCCAGCGTCCTGGGGCTAGTGGCTAGTGCTCATGTTGTCCAAGCAGATTGACGACCGGGAGATCGCTGCGCGCGAGTTGCGCGTCCACCGGCTCATCGCGGCCTCGTCGAGAGCGTCTTCGGCAGGATGAAGGGTGACTGCGACGATTACACCAGCTGCGGAGCGCACCAGCACCGCAGTGCCGATGGCGCCGTGGCGCCTTGCCAGGGCGAGTACATCGACGCTCTGATGCCGCTGGAACCGATCAGACACGTCGACCTGGCCATGGCCGAGGCTGACGAGCCGGCCCGAGGTCAGCTCCCCGACCTTCCTGTCTTCTCCTTGGGAGCAGCGGCCTGCGCCCTGCTCGCCCAGCGCCGGGCAGCAACGCGCATCGTCGCTCGGCAGAGAGCCGAGCACAAGCTGCTCATCTGACGCGCGACGCAGCTCATGTCCGGCGTTCTGGCCACGCGGAAGATGAGGACACGCAGCGCGTGTCTATTGATGCTGCGCGCTGGGCGAATCAGCGTGCGCAGCCACGGGTCATCCAAGAGGGGGGGGTCAGGATTCGGCATGCGCCCTGCTCGCCCAGCGCGCGCCGCCCGCTGGACGCGGCGGGCTGATCGCGCAAGCTTGCGCGCAGATCCTCATTCGGCTCTGAGTTGCTCGCAGCCTGCGGCGCAGCAGACGGTCTGCGGGCCACCTCCGCACGTTGCGCGCCGCCTCTGCCGAAGAGATCAGGGGGCTGAGCGGAGTAGGGGGCTGCGCGATCCCTGCTCGCAGAGTTTCAGGGGCATTTCCGTCTGCAGCGCCCTGCTCATGGATGCGGTCCGGCCGCCGTCCAACAACGGCGCGGCTGGCCACCCGCTGTGGTTTGCCGACCATCTGCGCGCCGAGCAGATCGACGAATTGCGCTGTCGCGACACTCGGGGCGCGCGGGCCGACCCCGTGGCCGAGGGCAGCACGGGCCGAGAGGTTATCTTCAGCGCGACGGGCGGCCAGATCAGCCACGACCGCGCCGCGGCCAATTTCGGCGACGAGAAGCCGGGGGGGGCGCCCCGAGTTCGCGGCATAGGTCGCGCGCGCAGAAGCAAGGACATGTTTCTCGCGACTGCGTCGCGAGATCTCGGGCAGGCGGAGCGCAGGCGCGCGACCGAGAGCCGCGTTCGCCCTCCGGGGGCGGGGCGCGCGCCCCGACGCCCGCGTGCGCCGGCGGGCGAGATCGACGAGTTGAGCGCTCAGGTGGGCGGGCTTTCGCGGGCTGCGTCTGGGCAGCTCGCGGATCTTTAGCAGGCGAACTTCCTGTTGTCTCGCGCTTCGCTGCGTGGGGGAATAAGTTTGCTTGCTTTGGCTTGTCTTGGGGGTTTCGCCGGGATAGTTTCCAACCCTGCCGCTGGCGCCGTAGAATGTGTCTGTGGTTGACGCCGAGGGGGCCAATCTGTCTGTTCCCAGGCTGGAACGAAGTCCGGTGACCTGGAGACATGCCGAAACAAGGTCAACGCGCTTCCCCGCGAGGCAGCTTTTTTTATGAAGGGGCGGTTAGTGGAGCACCCCTGTTGCGTTGTCCTGTTGAGTGCACGACGGACTCGAGCGCCAGACTCGAACGGTAGGTGTGCCCCCCATTTCACCGCCGTGTTCGCTTCGTGCCCAGCTTGTCCGCTGCCTTGTTGGCCGAGGGCAGGGGGGCCTGCAGTGCTCCCGCGCCCGCGTTAGACTTGCTGCCTTATTCATCCGCTCGCGAAGCGCGAAAAACATCGTCTCCTTCCGCACATCCTCATGTCTAGTCTCCCCTCCCCCGTCCACAGGTACACAATCTGAATGCGACTCTCCTCTCTCCCCTGGTGACGTCCGGAAGATGTTCGGCCTCTCTCCGCGTGCTGTTTATACGCCGGATTTCCGGGAGTTGGGTTTTCGTTTGGGTCTTGTTTTCAAGGTGTTCCCGCTGAAGCGCTGACCTTATTCCGGGCTTCCGTTCGTTCCGATTCGCGTTCCCGCTGCAGCTTTGGCCTCATGTCCGCGCTTCCGCTCGTTCCGAAACGTGCTCCCGTTGCATCGTTGGCGTCAGTATTTCCAGCGCCTTGCCGCGGCATGCGATGCAATGATATGTTGTCGCCCGCTATGCGATGCCATGTCTTCAGTTGCGATGCTGATATGCAGCGCTTGAGTACGCATCGCCACGCCATGCTATGCCATGTTACGCTGTGATCGTTCACGCCATGCTATGTCATCTTACGTTATGTACCCGTGTGCGATGCCATTTTTTGCAGCGCAACGCTTCGCATCGCAACTCATCGCTGCTCAACGCCACGCCACGCTATGACATACTACATTATGCCGTGTTTTTTTTTGCCCTGCTATGCCGTGCTCTACGATACATCGCGCACCCTCATGGGGTCATTGCCCTGCTCGACATCCGATTGTGCGAGCGGAGGGGGAGTCTTCGCCATGGTAAGGGATGGGAAGGAAGGGCAGGACGTCAGATCTGACGGGGGCGCACCTAGCTTGTTCCTCCCCCCTCCCCCTCCCCCCCATCCTTCCTTCTCTCAGGGGGGGGGGGGGGAAACACACAGACACAATGAACCCTTGGTTTCCAGGGAAATGTGGGGAAGTATGGGAAATGGGGGGGAAAACGCAGGCCCTCAAGACATGGGGGATTTTTTTTTTTTTTTTTTTTTTTGTTTTTTTTGTTGTGTGTGTGTGTGTGTGTGTGTGTGTGTGTGTGTGTTTGTGTTCCTTTGTGTGTCCTTGGGCCCCTTTCTTCTCCTCCCTCCTCCTCCCCCCCCTCCCCCGCCCGACCGCCACCTGCCGCGCCGCCCGACCGCCAGGGGAAGGGCACCGGCGACGACTTCCACGGCGAGCTGGACCTGCCCAAGGCCGCGGTTTTCGGGGGGTCGGGGTGGGTGGGGCGCAGGTCGGGGGCCCCAAAACTCATGCGATCGCAAACTCAGGATTAGGAGGAGGAGGAGGAGGAGGAGGAGGAGGAGGAGGATGGAGGAGGAGGAGGAGGAGGAGGAGGAGGAAGAGGAGGAGGAGGAGGAGGAGGAGGAGGAGGAGGGCTCTGAGGGCTCTGATGACGCGGACGGGTTCTCCCCGCCCCCGCCGCGCGGGCTTCGGCCAGGGGGGGAACCGCTCCCAACCCTTCGCCCGGCGCGGCAACGCCAGGCCACAGCAACGGCCCCAAAAAGGCCCGCCCCAACGGGCGAGACAGGGCCCCCAAGGGCCGCGAGACCCGAGAAGCCCCGTGACGCGTCGGGGAAGGGGACGGAAGCGGTTCCCCCCCCAAGGCCCGACGCCCCTCTCAAAACTTGGCCACCACGATGACGACTGGCCGAAACGATTCCCGGTCTTGGCCGCCATCTTCTGGCTGGTCTCCATCACAACAAGCGGGATGACGATGTAGCCGAAACTATTTCCGGCCTTGGTCACCCTGTTTTGGCGGGTGTTGCCCTTCTTGATGTCCGCATTTACTGTGACGAGTATGTCAAGATTCCGATGCCTCCCAACCTTGGTCATCACAGCACCCAACATGACCATGCTGCCAAAACTATTCAAGGCCTTGGTCACCTTGTTCTCGCGGGCCTTATCCTTGCTTATGTTCGCCTTCTCTGTGGCGACCTTGCCGAGATTCCGATGATTCCCAACCTTGGTCGCCTTCTTCTTGCTGTTCTTGATCATCACAACACCCTGGATACCGTAGCCATTGCTCGCGGGCGCTGCACCCCCCCCACGCGCGCGCACTGCTGGCCCGCTAGGGCCAGGAGGGGCTTGGGGGGGGAGGAGGAGGACGAGGAGAAGGACGAGGAGGAGGAGGAGGGGGAGGAGGATGGGGATCAGGCGCAACGCTCTGGGAAGGATGGGCGTAGCGGGGGATGCATCGACCCCTAATCGCCCATTGATCGCCGACAGGGGCCCGATAGGAGGTGATCGCAAGCATGGATCAAGGGGGCGTGGCTTGGCGACGGGTCTCGTTGCCACAAGAAATCGTGGATTTCCCCCGCCGAGCGAGGCGGCACGGGCCGCACTGTGGGGGGGCACCTCCCCCGATCCATGGATTTGGCGACCGCGCGCCCAGTCCATGGATCGCTAATCCATGTTTGCGCGCCCCCGACAAACGGGTCGGTGACCACGGCGGGGATTCGGAATCACCGCACGGTTTTGGAACTCGGGTCGTTCTCCGAGGGCGACTTGGGCATCCGAGGTCTCAAAACCGTGCGTGGACGGACCGCGCGGTGAGGTCTTGGGGGATTTCGAGGTCACCGCACGGTCCGCCACCGCACCGTTTCGGGACTCTACACAGGAGCGGCAGGGGGTTGCGTCGGGGGGCGGAGGGGCCCAGACGGTGTGGTGACCACGCCGCGTGGGGTCGACGAGAACGGGGAGTCGGGGTCTTCGGTAACATATCATTGGAACACAGTGTGTCCTCGGATCGGCGCCACCCGAACATGCTAATCTTATGTGTGCGTCGCCCCCTGGGAGGGCTACGCGCGCGCCGATAAATCCTATAGTGTGTGCTTCCTGCCTGCGCTTTCTGGCCGTACCGCTCGGAAACTGTACATTATAATGTTGTTATACTACGTGTTCGGATCGGACGCGCGCCTCCAAGGAAGACACATCGTATTAGTTTGTCCTTCTGCGTCCCATCGGAGCTCCGTGTTCTTAAGGGGGCACTAGCGTGCGCCGGCGTCTCGTAGTCGATGAGAGAGCGCCGACCTATCGTCGGTTAGCACCGATTTGGCATCGATCAGCGTCGATCCATCGTCGATTAGCGCCGATAAGCGTCGACTCGCAAGAGCCAGCCAGATGGTAAAGGTGGTGTGGGAAACTCCCACGAGGTGGTCCCGAAGGGGCCGCCGCGCGGTTTCGGGACCCGCGTCGTTCTCCGAGGACGCCTCGGACGACTGGGCCCTCCAGGGCTCCAAAAAACCGTGTGGTGACGGAGCGCGCGCGCCGCGCGGGGAGCTCGTCGTGGAACGTGCGCGTCGGCCGCGCACCTCCGCCGATCCTGCTCGGGCCAGGCCTGGGCCCGGGCGGGGCTGCCACTGCGCAGACCTCCGGCGCGCCCGCGCCGGAGAGTCGAGGCGGCCAGGCCGCGAGCGCTTTTTTGGCGCGCCCGCGGAGGCCGGCTGCGGGCCTCGGGGCAGCCCGGAGGTTTTGCTTGGGACGGAAGGCTGGCCTCGGGACGCCCAGACGACGCCCAGACGACGTCCAGACGTCGACGCCCACGCGACGCCCACACGACGCCCACACGACGCCCACGACGCCCACGCGACGCCCAGACGACGCCCACACGACGCCCAGACGACGCCCAGATGACGCCCAGACGGAAGGGCCGAGATGCATGGGGGCACGCGCATCGAGGAGGTCGAAGCGCCGGATGCTCGGGTATACGGTGGGCGCGTCCCCGGCCAAGCCAGAAGAGTCGGCCGCTCCTAGAAGCACACCCCTGCTTCTTGGAGTGCGCGGGCCGTATCTGTTGATGTGAAGCCTGCGCCTTTTCAGAAGCAGCCTCCTTTCAGGACGCCTTCCCCCCTCCCCCTGCCCCCCTTGTGCTCACAATCCACCAAACCACCCCAGCCCGACCCGAAGGCCTCAATTTGCTTTCCATTTCCAGTGGTGGTGGGTGGGGGGGTCGGGGAGCAGTGAGAAACACATTTGGAACCCGTACCCCTCCCAACCCGAAATTGGGGTCTTCGGATTGGGTTGGGGTGGTCTGCTATCGGCGTCACCCCAACATACTTGTACTAACTATATAGGTGCGTCGCCCCCCAGTGGGCGATACGCGCACCGAGAAAGCTTATAGTATATGCGTCGTGGCGGGCGTTTTCTGGCCACGACGCTGGGGAAACGATGTGCTACAATATGGGTATACTATATGTGTGTGTGTGTGTGTGTGTGCGTGTGTGTGTGTGTGTGTGTGTGTGTGTTTGGGTCGGACGCGCGCCTCCGAGGAGAACAAAAAAGTACTAGCACGTCTCTGTGCGGCCCATGGTAGGCAGTCACGCGCCGCCAAGAGTGGGGCCGAACGAAAAGGGGGGGATAGGGAAAGGGGGGGTTACGCAATGTGCTGTATGCAGCTGGTTTCGGACCCACTGAGGGGCCCATTCCTCGATACCTAGCCGTCTCCGGCGCCGGGAGGCGCCGGGAAAATCAGCTGCGCGAGCTGATGCTCAAACCCCCCCTTCGTTTTCCCCCCCTTTCGCCCGACCCGAAAGGGGGCCTGCTCGCACACCTGTCGGACCTCGTGGGGCAGCCGGGGCCTCCCTCGCGGGGCGAGGCCTGGGGCCCAGGGGGGCTCCCGCGCCGGAGCCGCCGCCGAGGCCTTCCCCTGAGCGGGAGGGGAGGGGCCCCCCCTTCCCTTTTTTCTCCCTCTCCCTGGGGGGGGGGGAGGGGAGGAGGACAAGCTAGGTGCGCGCGCGTCATATCTGGCGTCCTACCCCTCCCTCCCATCCCTTGCCATGGCGCTGATTTTCTCTATCCGCGGACTAGGGGGTGGTGGTGCGCGTGCGTGCGTGCGTGCGTGTGTGCGTGGTTGTGGTGGTGGTGGTGGTGGTGGTGGTGGTGGTGGTGGTGCTGGTGGTGGTGGTGGTGGTGCTGCTGCTGCTGGTTGGTGCTGGTGGTGGTGGTGGTGGTGGTGGTGGGGTGGTGGTGGTGGTGGTGGTGGTGTGTGTGTGTGTGTGTGTGTGTGCGTGTGTGCGCGTGTGCTGTGGCATGGCACGGGAAATGACGCCAGCGCTGCAGCGGGAGCACGAGTCGAAACGGGCGGAAGCGCGGAAATGAGGCCAGCGCTACAGCGGGAGCACGATTCGGAACGAGCGGAAGCACGGAAATGAGGCCAGCGCTGCAGCGGGAGCACGATTCGGAACGAGCGGGGCCCGAAAATGAGGCCGGCGCCTCGGCGAGAGCAGCATTTTGAAAAAAAACACAAGCGAAAACCCGTTTCCCGGGAATCCTGTGTGTAAAAAAATACGCGGGGGGGTGTCGGATATCTTCGGGACGCCATCAGGGGAAGTGGGAGAGTATTTTCATATTGTGTCATTGTGGAGGAGGGGGAGGAGGGGGAGGAGGGAGGAGGAGGAGGAGGAAGAGGAGTAGGAGGAGGAGGAGGAGGAGGAGGAGGAGGAGGGGAAAGGAGAGGAAAGAGGGGGAGGGAGAGGGCCTGGAAAAGCCAGCGAAAACACGCCGTGTGAAGAAACACCGAAAGCCTGTCCCCCTACAGGGGGATTTCCTACGAAAAGATACCCCAAAAATAATAAGAAAATGGTTCAAAAATAGTCTGGGGACAATTTTGTTGGGTATTTGTTTCCCTTTTTGGTTGAATGTTTGGGGTATCTCTTATTTTTCGTCGACAATCTACCTGTAGGGGGACACGCCCGACATAACCCTTCCCCCTTTTCTCCCCGGGGGGGGGGAACGGCCGCCGGGTGGGCGTCGCGTTCGCCAAGAGGGCCCCTTCTTCTTTTTTGTCCGACGGCGACGTGCTCCTCCTCCCTCCCTCCTCCTCCTCCTCCTCCTCCTCCATTCCTCCTCCTCCTCCTCCTCCTCCCCTCCTCCTCCTCCCTCCATCCTCACCTCCTCCCCCCCCCCCCTCCCCCCCCCCCCTCCCCCTCCCCCTTCCCCCCTCTTCTCCTCCCTCTCCCCCCCCCCTCCTCCTCCCTCCTCCTCCTTCACCTCGTCGCTTGGCGGCTTTGTTCGTGGAGGCGACTGGTTTCTTCGACGGCCGACGCACGGGCGAAGCAGACGCAACGGGACCCCCTGTGGCGAAGCTGGCGCGCCACTGGGCTTTCACGGGGTGGGGGAGGGGACTCTTTGGTGTTGCATATTCCGCCTGGGGGCATCCAGAGAACCTGGCATGTCATGCCTGAGTGAAGACAGCGAAGATGAGGGAATGAGGCGCGCTGTGCGACCGAGGGCCTCACTTCCCGCCCAATCAATCCCTTTCAGCCTCGGGTGTGGAACTTGCCCAGGCTTCAGGTGGGGGGGGGAGTGTTTGGATAAGGCTGTATGTGAAGATCGTGCTTACTTGTTTTGCCATTGGCCACTCGTATTCTTTGAGGTATACTTCCCGCCTGCGCGGAGGAAAGGAAGGAGTAAGAGGAGGCAGAAGGAGGAAGATGATGATGATGAGGAGGAGGAGGAGGGGAATATTATCAATACTGTAGCACCCCGCAGATGCGGATAAGAATGAGGGGGCGGTGGGGACGTCGGCAGTTTGCGAGACTCTGGAGAAACCCGCCGCAGGCGCCGAAGTTTCACAAATTGTAGAACGAGCCCGCCGCAGGCGCCGATTCTTTCGTTAAACCAATGTGGGTAGGTCGCGGGTGGGTCGCGGGTGGGTCGCAAAGGGGTCGCGGGTGGGTCGCGGGTGGGTCGAGGGGTGGGTCGCGGGTGGGTCGACGGATTGGTCGCAAATGGGTCATGGGTGGGTCGCGGGTAGGTCGCCGGATGGGTCGCGGGCGGGTCGCGGGAGGGTCGCGGGTGGGTCGAGGGGTGGGTCGCGGGTGGGTCGCGGTGTGGGTCGCGAGCAGGTCGCGGGTTGGGTCGCGGGTGGGTCGCGGGGTGGGTCGCGGGGTGGGTCGCGGGTGGGTCGCGAGGTGGGTCGCAGGGTGGGTCGCGGGTGGGACGACGACAACAAACAACAACACCAACACCACCACCACCAACAACAACGCAACAAGCAGAATTCTCACCACGGATCCCCACTTCAGCCACGCACCCAGGGACAATCAATGACCGTTCGGCCTTTCTGAGTCTGATGCTGGTAAGAGTAATAGTACGATTTATTCCGACAAGAGGTAGCAAGGGACATACAGCAATTCTAAGCAATGAGACGAATTTAGGTATATACATCCTAATGTACATATATATATATATATATATTAATTCAACTAACAATACAACTAGTACTCATTCTCATAATTCGGTTCATACTAGTAATGCTACTACGCAGCAGAAGATAGCATCCGAATAATAACGCTACTCCGAATTCTGATACGACAACTAGGATGAGGAGGAGGTGGAGGAGGAGGTAGAGGTGGAGGTGGAGGTGGAGGAGGAGGAGGCGGTGGATTGAGGGGGGGGAGGGGGAGGAGGGAGAGAGGAGGAGGAGGAGGAGAGAGGAGGAGGAGGAGGAGAGGAGGAGGAGGGGGAGGAGGAGGATGAGGAAGAGAAGGAGGATGGGGAGGAGGAGGCGGAGGAGGTGGAGGAAGAAGAGGACGGATGAGGAGGAGGCGGGAGAGGACGGAAGACGCAGGGCGGAGGATGGAGGAGGGAAGAGCAGGAGGAGGATGAGCATTAGGAGGAGGACGAGGAGGATGAGGAGGAGGAGAACGGAGGAGGGAAGAAGGGGAGGACGAGGAGGAAGAGGACAACAATGAAGACAAGGAAAAACAGAAGATGATGAGGAGGAGGAGGACGAATGATGAGGCGGAAGAGGACGGGAGATGGTGGGCGGAGGGTGGAGGAGGGAAGAGCAAAATAAAGGGGGAACGGATGACGGATGAGCAGGAGGGAAGAGCAGGATGAGAAATAATAGCAACAATATTGAACGTAGCACCCCGCAGTTGCTGTTAACAGTGAGGGGGCGACGGGGACGTCGGCAGTCTGCGAGCCTTTGAAGAAGCCCGCCGCAGGCGCAACATTGCTCAAGCTATACAACGAGCCCGCCGCAGGCGCCGATTTGTTTGTTAAAACGATGTAGGTGGGTCGCGGGTTGGGTCGACGGTGGGTCGACGGTGGGTCGCGGGTGGGTCGCGGGCCGGGTCGCGGGCCCGGTCGCGGGCCAGGTCGCGGGTGGGTCGCGGGTGGGTCGCGGGTGGGTCGCGAGCGGGTCGCGGGATGGGTCGCGGGTGGGTCGCGAGTTGGTCGCGGGGTGGGTCGCGGGTGGGTCGCGAGTCGGTCGCGGGTGGGTCTCGGGCCGGGTCGCGGGGGGCGACGACAACTACAGCAACAAGCAGATTCGTCACTAGGGATCCGCACTTCAGCCACGCACCCAGGGACAATGAATGACCGTTCGGCCCGTTCATTCTGACGAAGAATAAGGCAACGCATACTCTTATTAATACCAGTGCTGACATTCATACAAGCACTAGTAAATCCTACTGCGAGTAGTCATCATCAGAGTACCAGCGGTACTGCTAACAATCGTACTGCTGATGCTACTAGTCATCATGATGCACATTGACACTCTACAACCAATAACAACATGATTATGAGCAGTAGGTCTAGTACGAAACCAACCCTTGCAACACAACATCATAATATTCATAGTGATAGCGCGAGTAATACGTCCGTTGCGAAGACAGAAGAATATTACAAACACCTTTAACACACACGACATGTAATACCACCAGTATTAACACTACTCATTGTACCGATGGTACTATTCGCAATCCGAATACAACAACCCTTGAACATTACTTATGAAGAAACGTTTTTTTCTATACAACATAAATAGTAATAGTAATATCAACATAACTAATAGCAATGCTTCTATCAATAATGTAAAGAGGAGGAGGACAAGGACGGAGAAGGAAGTGGAAGAGAACGGCGGGAAGGGGCGGTGGATGCAGGAGGGAAGAGCAGGAGGATGAGGGGGACCAGGAGGAGGAGGAGGAGGAGGAGGAGGAGGAGGACGACGAACAAGAACAAGAGAAGGAGGAGGAGGAGGAGGAGGAGTACGAGGAGGAACGGGAGGAGGAGGAGGAGGAGGAGGAGGAGGTAGGACTGAGGGGGAGGCGGAAGATGACGGAGGACGGAAGAGGGAAGAGAAGGAGGAGCAGGAGGAGCAGGAGGAGCAGGAGGAGGAGGAGGAGGAGGAGGAGGAGGAGGAGGAAGGGTGGAGGAGGAGGAGGAGGAACAAACAGGAGAGGAGGAGGAGCAGGATGATGACGATGATGAGGAGGAGATCGGAGGAGGGGGCAGAAGAGGACGGAGGACGGAGAAGGGAAACTCAGCAGAAGGAGGAGCAGGAGGAGGAGGAGGAGGTGGTGGAGAAGGAGCAGGAGGAGAATAATCATTAGAAGAATACGTATATGATTTATCATATATAGGACATCAGACAACACAAATAATAAGAAGACGTGAGGAGGAGGCGGAGTAGGAAGAGGAGGAGGAGGAGGCGGAGGAGGACGGGGACCCTCGGGACAAGCCTTGGGTCCCCGCCTCCTGGGCGCGCCAGAAGCATTACGAGTGGGAGGACAAGTACAAGCCGAGGATCCCGCCGGCGCGCCTCAGTCTCTGCCCTGGGAGGGGGGGGGGGGCAGCGGGGGGGCCTGCTGCCGAGGTCTAGGCCTCCTGGATGGGGTCGGTGTAGATGGGGTCGGAGGATCGCGCCGTATCGCCGATACATCGCCGACGCGGCTCGAGGTGGAGCCCGTGTTTCCCCATGCAGGCGTCTTCGATGCCTCGCCGATGCATCGGCGGTGCTATGGCGATGCGGCGCGATCCTTCGACCCCATCAACGCGTACTCGGTCCCCGTCTATCAGAGGCCTCTGCCGGGGCAGGGCTCAGCGGGGGGCGGGGGGGAAAGGGAGCAGGGGCGGCCCCGCTGCCGCTCCGCTTGCCACTGCCCAGGTCGTCCGGTCGCCCAGTCGTCCGCTCGCACCTGTCGTCGGGTCCTCCGGTCGTCCGTTCGTCCTGTCGGGCGCCCAGTCGTCAGGTCGCCTGTTCGTCCAGTCGCCTGGTCGTCCGGTCGTCCAGCCGCCCGGTCGTCCGGTCATCTGGTCGTCGACCGGTGGCGCGGTCGTCATGGTCGCTGGGTCGCTCGGTCGCCCGCTGTTTGGTCGTCAAGTCGTCTGGTCGCCCGGTCGTCCAGGCGCCCGGTCGTTCGGTCGTGTGGTCGCCCGGTCGTCTGGTCGCCCGGTTGCCCCGGCCCGGCCCCGGTAAAATTGCGGTAGTCTTTTTCGTCCTCCTCCTGCCTCCTCCTCACAATCAGGTGAACCAGCCACGGGTCCTGCAGGCACTGCTGTGCCGATCGTACCGCCAGCAGCTGCCAGCTCGATGATCAGCGAGCAGAGCTCTTTCGTCGTGCCAAGCCGAGGAGAGGAGTCATTGCTGCCAAGGCTTCCGACACCGACTCCGACTCCTGCCATCTCCTGTTCTGAGCCGTCTGGGGGTCTGAGGTGGCCCCGCAGGCTCCAGCGAGCAGGGTTCGAGGTTCTGGGTTCGAACCAGTTTTTTGCCGGTCTTAGGGGGCCGTTTCCAGGCCGTTCGACCTTCAAATTCTGATCAGGGGTGGCGGCTGCACCGCGCGGACCCTGGGAGGCGTGGGGTGGGCGATTTGGAGCGGATTTGCACTCATCCCGCCGTCTTGACTGATTTTCTCGGGCCCCATCCAGGTCAGACGCTCTCCTCCTGCCTCGTCGTCGTCGTCTCCTCCTCCTCCTGCCCCGCTCCTCGTCCTCCTCCTCGGCGCCCGATGCGGGCAGGCTTGTTCCCATGATTGATGCCCTCGCCCCCTCCGCCGGTGAGGACTCTAGTTCGGCGGAGGTCGGACTCTAGTTCGGCAGAGGTCGCGTGTGCAGCAGACCCTGCATGGCGCGCCTTGGCGCATGTTGTAGCTTCCTCACCATGCTCTTCCCTCTTCCGGTTCCCTCCCCCTTTTTTTTGTCACGTGCCTGTCCCATCTGCCGTCCCACTCCCTCGTCCTTCCTTCCTGCCTCCTGCCCTCCTCCTCTCGTTCCTCGCCTCCCCCCCTCCCCCCCCCCTCCTCCTCCTGTTTTCTGCCCTGCCTCTCCCCCGAGCCCTCCTCTTGCCCTCCCTCCCGCCCTCAGGAAGCCGCGGTTCTTCAACCGCGTCAAGACGGGCTTCGAGTGGAACAAGCGCCCGGCCGCTCGCCCCGCCGCCTCGGCCTCCCCTCGGCCGCCCCACGCCGAGCCTGCCGCGGCGGTGCCGGGCCGAGGCGGCCGCCGGGGGCGCAGAGGCGGACTTCGGAGGCGACGGCAGGGGCGAGTAGCCCAGGGGAGATAAAACGACGCGAACATCGGGACAAAATCGGATCGGGATAACTCGAAATCTCTGAGAATCGGCGGGTTTGGAGGATGTATTGGGCGCCGCG